CTTGAGCTGCTTCTAGTCTTTGGTTGTCTTTGTTTTAGGATCCAGGTTTCTGATCCACATAATAGCATTGGTTTGGCTGTCATGTTGTGTATTCTTATATTGGTGTCTTGTCATGTCCTTCCCATAGTGTCTTAATTATTCCATTTATAGAGTGATGAGCGATTTATGAGTTGATGCCACAGAGCAACTTGTGTACTCTCTGGGCAGAACAAGTGAGGTGGTAGACCTGGGAGGGCACAAGTGAAAGAGAGGAACAGTAGACAAACAGATGAGATTGAGATGCATGTTGTGATCATACAAGTGTCTATATGAGGTGTATACCTTTAATTTGTAAATAAACCAAACAGTTCAAAATTATACACTTTTCGTAATAAACCCAATCCCATATTTATTCTATTATATTTCAAAATTTTGTGTTGGAGGTCCTGGGAGTTTACTCAAATCTCATTGCCTAAATATTTGAATGTCAATAATTGCTCTATTATTTCCTACATTGTCAAGATTTTCATGTCATAGGTCTTTGCTATTTTATTCAGTTCATGTTGGTATTTGGAGTTCATCTTCTGATTCAGCCAAAATTATTTGGTCTGCAAACAGATCTGTTTGTATAGTTTGTTTTTTATGTTATATACCTTGATTTATTGACTTCTTCCATTCTTTGACGAGACTGTTGGCATAAATATTGTAAAGGTTGGATGATAGGCCACATCCCTGTCTCAGTCCTCTGTTTGTATGAAGTATTTTGTGATGGTCCCATTATTCATTTTTACAGCCATTTTTGAGTCCATATACAGTGTTTTTTTCATTGATAATTTTGTCTGGTATTCCTTCTAATATTTTCCACAGTTTAAACCTGTTAGTTATGTTCGTAAGTTTCTTTTATTTCTTTTGTCTAATACAGTACTGTGAATACAGCATCCTTTGTGTTCCTGCCCTTTCTGAATCCACATTGTTCTTCACCTGTGAAGTTTTCACTGAACTCATTAATTCTGTTCCTTAATATGTTATTAAATAATTGTGAGGTGGTTGGCAGTAGTGTTATCCCTCTGTAGTTGCTGCAGTCTATATTCGTTCCTTTCTTAAGTACATTTGTTACCAAAACTGTTCACCATTCTGATGGGGTAAGATTCTCTATCCATATTTTGTTAAATACTGTAGTTCAATCAATATCACTTTTAGTTCTTTACCTCCATATTTGATAAGTTCTATGTTAATTTCATCTATTCTATGGCTTTTTCTGTTTTTAGCTTTTTTAAATACTTTTCAAGTACTTCTATTATTATTCCTACAGGTTGGTTCTCCATATCTGAGGTCATGTTTATGTTTGATACATGGTTGTCTTTGTTCCACAATTTTGTAGTGATTTATAATCCACTCTGTCTCTGGTATTAAGTCTATATTTCCTTTTAACCTTTTTTATCGCAAGTATTCTTAGTATTTTAAAACTTTCACAACTCTTTGTGTTCCAGTGATATCTTTCTCTATTTCCCAGTCTCTTTTATTCTTTTTCTGTGTTGTAGAATTTCTTATAGGCTTTCTTCTTGTTTATGAATGATTTTTTTGTATTTCTTCATTCCAAGATCTTATCCACTTCTCTTTTTTGGTCTCTATAACTCCTAAGCTTTCTCTTGGCTGCTTCATTATTGCTTGTTTTAGAGTTATCCACAATGTTTCTATGTTTTGTTTGTTTAATTTTGTAGTTTATTCTTAAATCTTTTTTCACATTAATATTAAATACTTTATTCATCTAATAGATGTACCATAAATTTGGGTTTTACTAAGGCTTCTTCTCTTTCTTCTTGCAGAGTTGGGGGTTGATTTTCATTTTGCTGTCAAGGAGGTCATGATCAGTGTCTTAATGTGTAATGATCACTTCCTCTGAAAATCTAAGTGTCTTTTACTTTATTGAGTAAGTCTTGGATTACAATATTGTTCCTCTTTCTTCCCACATTAATATGTGTTTATCTTTGTGTTGGAGAAAGGAGTTAGTAATTTTCAGATTATAGTTCCATTGTTATTGACTTCTTCTTCCTCACTTCCTTTGATGTCATTTACTTCTTCTCTGCCAATTCATACATTTAAGTCACCAGCTATTATGATAAAAGTGTTCTTCTCACTTTGATCTATTACAGTTTGTAATGTATGATAAAATTTTGTAGTATGGGATGTTTTATGACAATTGTGTAGATCAAAGCCTTGTTATGAACATCAAGTTCGTGAAGCATCAGGTGTAATACACATGTTTGACAGACACCAGGTTGTTTTATATCAATCGTGTAGACCAAAAGCCAGGCCCTCATCACTGTTTGCTTGAGGGGTCTTGCATTATCAGGCTTCAAAAAATTTTGTTGGTTCTGTAAATCATCACATTCCAACTTTAAAATCTAAGAGAGCTGGTACTGTGACAGAGGACAAATAAAAGTGGCCTGTATTCGCAGTAAGTAAATTGTATTCAAAATCATGAATCTTAATATGCAGAGTATGCATATAAAATGTTTTTACAAACAATAGCACCAGATATGAAGAAAAGTTCTTCCTCTTTAGTTACCAATTTTTATCTTGAGACAGTTATGAACTCACAGGTCAAAAGTACATATATGCATTCAGCTTCCTGATACTAGTATGAATGGTATGTCAGTCACAGGTTAAATAGTTTATCACAAAAGAGGTTTTGCAAGAGCTCCACACTCTTATTGCTAATATGTATAAGGAAATCATCGGTTTAGATTTTTTATAACAATTGATTGTATCTACCTACCATTACAAGAACATAAATTATATTCGAGATTCAATGCGTAAATAAAACTATATACACACTGACAAAATTTGATATTTTATTGTATTCTAAATATTAATGTAAAGAACAAAAATATTGAAAGACTTGTGTACTCAGACTTACAAAGAAAGTGCCTGATTAATATATTTCTCTTTGTGAAGACCAAAAATATTTTTTAAATTTACATCTTGCTAATACAAAACTTCAAAGTCCTTTTACTGCATTTTGGCACCTGGTCTTAATAAGGAATACTTGATGACACATTTCTAGAATAAATATCAAACACACTGGACGCACTAGATTAAGAACATACATAGTTTTCTCACTTTCCTCTTGTACTCTCTTACAACAGTATTAGTCTATAAAAAGACTTAATAAACATCTTTAAAAACTGCATAGAGGATTCAGGCAGTTCAAAAGACAACAGGAATCAAACACAAAAGCTCAGGGTTGGCAAATTAACATTCTTACCAAATATGGACATATATGAAAGTGATAAATTGAAATATTTTTACAAAATACTTGGTTCAAAAAGCATTTTATGATTTATGCACACACTCAAAAACAGTTAACCAGTACCTAAAACATACTCCAATTAATAGGTAGCTGAACTTCATTTTGTAATAACTAGGCAAAGAGTGAAATAACTAGACCCAAGAATGCTTGAGGCATTACCATATGAAATATTCTTAATATTATATCTGAAAATTTATTTTGATGAACAATCATTAAAAAATATTCAGGTCTGGGTATACTTCGACTGAATCTCACCTGAAGAAAACAAAACTATTTTCATTTTAGGTGTGCAAAATAAAAATGTTCTGTCCTCATTCCATACGCATTTCAGGTCCTTGCAATACCCTGCAACATGTAATTAATCAAAGTACATCTATATCATGAGCCTTTCTTTCTAAAAACTTTCTTTTTTCCCCTCTTTCTTTTTTCTTTTCTTTTTTTCTTTTCAAATTTCTGGAAATCACTCATTTCTAGATTTCAGAAGAGGGCCTTCTTCCTGCACATGTACTATCCACATTTCCATCATGGATTATTTATACCAAAAAATTACATCAAAATTAATTATGGAATATTTTTGGCAAATGTATTGTCTGCTTAAGAATACATAGTGGCCTTCACATGTAAAGTTCATCTTTTAACTATTCAATAAAATATGAAGAGTGAGGAACTTTCAAACTTCATAAATTGAAACAGCTAATACTTTTAATCACTGTTGAGGAAATCTGCCATAATTTTACTTAACAGTGAATTCCACTTGTTATTCTCATTTTAATAATATATTTGCAAGATTAATAATTCAACAACTAACAATAAACTATCAATATAAAAAAATAATAGGCTAAATTGCCATTAATTACAAATAGCAAACATTCTACTACTCACACATATCAAACATTAATAAAAAAAACACATGTTTTGGCTAGTTTGATTATTGGACTTTTGTAGGTGGAATTCAAAATTCAGGACTTTTTTTATCTGAATCAATTAATGTTTCAAGGCAGAAAACAGTTTCCAATTCTCTGGTATATATACATTAAAACCTAATTCTTTGCCATAACCAGTAATTGTGTGTCACCTTTGTAATTGAACTGGCTACTTGAAAAGTAGTTTGAAGTAGTAGTGAAAAGTAGTACAGTAATATCAGTTTCAAATTCACAGAAACTTGTGTTCATTTATACTGACCAAAGGATGTGAATTTTGGAGAAAATCATAGGACCAGTTTAAGAGCTAGCATTAGCCTCAGAGAGAGAGGCAGACATTTTGCAGTCAATCAATTTTTCGAAGTCAAGGGCCCACAAAACATGGTTTCTGACTACACAATGTGTTAGAGGAAGAACTTTACCACACATAGGAACAAGATTTATCAACTTATTTGTTATCAGGCATTTTTACCAGCAGTGTAACAATACCTTCTCTATATTCCATAAGCAGTAGGCAATAAAGTGAAAATTAAACCAGATCACTATGAAATCACAGCCTCTTGGGTGCTATTAGAAATACATCTGACATTACAATTGGTAATTTTCATAGCAAGCATTTCGAGAATTGGAGTCAGTTTGGAATTATGGGAGGAGTGGTTGGAATGAGTTTGGGCTTTGGGAAATTTCAAAAATACAGTAAGTTAATGAAAGTAAGCCCAGGCAGGCTTCCCAAATTGAATTTGATTGGCAGCTCTCTTAATTCTGTGTGATCAAATTAAATTCAGTAATAAAGAAATGAAATTGTGTTATAAATTCATTCTAATGAATTTATAAGGGAGTTTGATTTCATCCTGAATTTTTGATTGTTTACCTCTAGTAAAACTCAATTTTATGTAGTCTGTCTAAAAAAATTAAAGTCCTAAATTTTGAATAACCCTTGCACTTTTGAGTTTTATCAATTTTACACACCAATCACACAATACAAGGTATGTAAATACCATCTTAGAATACATTCTATTCTCTTTCCAGCTTTTGGTCCTATTCATGTACTTAGTCTTTTAAAAAGTTAGAGGTAATTATAAGCAATCTTCTAGGGCTTAATAATGCAATTATCAAAGAAAATCTACCACAATCACAGAAAAATATATATAACAGAAAACTGTAAAGATTAATACAAAGGGTTGATTAATATTTACTTTAAATTATAAGGTTGATTGCAATAGTGAACATAGAGAACTTGTAGAAATAACATTGTATTAACAAAGGAAATGATATTTAGTTTCTTTCCAGTGGAATTACTGTGATTACATCATTAAGGTATCATTAGTTATTAAAAACTTATTCTCATGGTTTTTAGAAATATGTCTAAATGACAAGTTCCAAACTTCATTTTAACAATATTTTACCAATATAATCACACATTTTTGCCATTAATACAGATAAGGGAAAACTTTTACATCTCACATTTACATCAATTTATTGTCTGCAAACTCTTCTGAAGTTGCAAACTACAAATAGTATTAAAAATTGAATAATATGAATTTTTTTCTGTGAACAGTAAAGACACGATTTTAATTACATGCAAAATTGGTAAAAATTTACAACGTCCTTTTTAACATGATTAAGTCACAATTACTTCAATCATGTAATTTTCAAATAGAAAGCACTCTTCTTCAAAAGAAACCCACCTAAACAAAATTTTTCAATGGGCAAATTTTATGGAAAGTTAAATTATTTCTTAAAGCAACATTGTATTTTAAACAGAACTTCTGCATTTACCTCCAAAGAAATTTCTCAAATGTATTATTAATAAATAACTTTTATTTTATTATAAACTCAATTTCTAAATATAAATGTAATCCTTAAAAATATAAATGTTTGACAAATTTTAGCTTTCATCAAAATTTCACGGTTTTTGTGATTCTATAAATTCATCAACCCACCATTTTGTGAGGTTAAGATAGAAGTTAGGTCCCTCAGGTTCATAATCAAGATAAGTGAAAGTGGATGTAGTTCGTGGAATTGATGGTTCTATTTGTGTTCCTTCATGCCACTCATTAAATGATGTAATCGAAACGAATTTTGCCTGAGCTGCTAAAGCACTTCTCCAAGCAACTTCATAATACTTGCCATGTCGACGATGTCGAGTGTTAGCAGTATTCCAAGGTCGCACTTGTGTATCAATATAACCAGGTCCAACGGAAGGAATGAATATTAAACCGTTCTGATGAGCAAATTTACTTAAGCTGCGCCAATTTTTCCATGAAGAGCCATAAGTAAAACCATTCGTAGCAAAATAAGTATAAAATCCTGTAAAAGAATATGAGTATTATGCTAAAAATTGTGAATAAATTTGAAACCTATTGGTAATAAGGAGTGTTTTTATGTTTTTTAAGAGTAGATGATAACTGGAATATAAACAGCAAAACTTAGATGATACGCAGGGTATGATATGAAGGAGGAAGCATAGGTGACATGAAGGGATCTACCGACAACTGAATAGAAAGGAGTGCAGAAAGAGTGGTAAACTGTTGACATATAGTTGCTAACGAAGAAAAAGTATTCAATCGAAAATGGAAGTTTGAAATATATGTTCACTATATGAAAAAAGAAGCTGGCCTTCAGATTTGTGTATAGCATGCATTATAACAATCGCAATAAAATGTGTTTTTCAAAATGTATTTAAAATAAAATGAATGTCAGGTTGCAAATAAAAAATATGAACTGAAATTTTATTGTCACTTATCAATAATTTTCATGCAATGTAATACCATTAACTTACCATCAAAATGGGCTTTTTTGATATCATATCTGTGTTGCATTTCAACTAGAAGGCCCAAGAATATTCCATCCAAATGAGTTCCTCTGATACTAAGATTTCCCTTACTACTAAAGAGTTCTCTCCATGCACCAGCTGGAGTTAAATATGAATCATACATGTAGAACACTGGAAGTTCTCTACCTCTTCGCAACATGCGATATAGAGCTGGATGATTTCCATAGTTAGATATTATATACTGCAAATGTTCAGAGAAATTTATGGGATTTCGGTTACGATATGGCTCAATATGAAGAGCCATTTTCAGGCCATGCCTCTGTGCAACATCCAACAAGAGAGGTATAATGGGATCAGGAGAATCACCATGAGCATCGGACATTCCAGGGGGATACCACGACACAACCACCACACCTGAAACAAAACAAAAAATGCCAAAGTAGAAATGAACAAATTATCAACAAGTAAGATGCGAGTGACAGCTAATTTCACGCAGGTAAGATATTGAAATAGAGAGAACTATAAGAAAATAACTTTTTCACAATCTTTTTTCTTTTATGGCATGATTTCTTTATTCAAACAATTATTCTACAAGCCAGAAAATTGTTTTAGTTCTCTTAAATCTATGAACTTTGAAGTCAAATTCTTGGTCTTTATTTCTACCAACATTTACGTCCAGAATATTCTGGTTCTTAACAAAGAATTTTTTAATTAGCCTGTCATGTGAGTTCATTCAAGCAAGTTTGTTAATCGGTTTTCACAAGTTCCTTTTTTCTAGAGTTCTTTGGCTAAGCGTGAATCATTCGAATTATGAAAGTACTTCAAAAGAAAATAAGTGATGTATTTTTATTGCTTTCTGTATCTGTAATTGTTTAGTGTAGTGAATATGTTTTTAAAATATTTTTTTAAAAGTTTTTTAAGAAAGTTTTGTTATATATGTCAGAAGGCTCTCATCTTTGCTCACAAAATTGGCATAGCCGGTACCTGTCTGCTATATATTTACAAAAACTTGAATCAACATTAAACATATTATTGTTGTAAAATAAAATAGAAATCAAGAAAAAAACATGGCTAATGAATACCAAAAGAACAGCATTAAAAATTAACAAATTGAATCTATAGAACAAGCAAGAACTTATAAGAATGAAATTGTCCATGAGAAATACAATGATGGTAGACTCAAAGCAAAAGTGATGTAAGAAAGCGAAGATCCAAACTGCTGGATCACTGGGAAGTCCAAGAGATCAGAACTTTTCAGAAAGGTTGATGTATCATGAGTAATTAAGTGTTAGAGGTGGGCAAAAAAAGTGCCAAAATCAATTAAACAAGTTAGTAGAGCAGTTGATACTCGTAAGTGTAGTAAGTAATACAGTAGCAACAACTTATTTCATATATGCTGCCAATGAGAAATAAATTAACAGCATTTTAGTAGTTTCAGTTCAGTAATTTCATGAATTGGAAAGAAAGTCTTCCACACTAATCAAAAAAATTTGACAGTATAGAGTGTTTTAAGTTCATGAATTTCCTTCAAGTTTTCCTCCCTTATTCTAAAGTTTTCAGGTCAAAAAAAAAAAATTGTGTCTGAAGAAGAGAAAGAGAAGCATCTACGAAAACATGTCATGAAGCACATCGTGAATTTTCAAAAGAAGTAATGTTTCTTGAAGTGGTTTGGGAGAGTTGTATTCTGCTGAAGGAACTACAAAATGAAAAGCAATTCATCTCAGAGACCAATAACTTAGTTGTCACCTCAGTTATCAGTAGGGAGCAGATTTCTATGAAAATGCATATTTTTTGTCGCGTTGCTTCAGTAAATGGTAAGTGATCTTTCTTGACACTTGGTTAGAATATGAAGGTATGTAGATTATTATGTTAGTACACATTTACTTCACAAAGGTGAATATATACTTCAATTATTCTCCCGTTAAGTCAGGTAGATTATATTATGTTTGCACAAAAATATCATTTTTTTATTCGCAACGTATGCTTCTCCTGAGTTTTATCAAGAAAAGTTTGTAGAGGAAATGAAATATTGTTAATTTTAATTGTATTTTAAAGTGCATATTTAAGATTTTTTGGTCAAAAATGCATATTTTGAAAGCATATTTCAAGATATTTTAGGGCATAAAATTCCTTTTCCTATTTATCAGAATGGTATAAATGTACTTAATGTATGGTATGTATATTCTACATGGAGCTTTATGGCAAAAAGAGAACAACACTTACTTTGAAGGAAGAATTGTGTAAAAACATTTAACTGGGCTCAAAGTGGACCTTACATGAAATGTGTACCATCACACAGTTTTTGTATAAATCAAACAATTCAATAGAAGAGTTTATTATAATTTACTATTATGATAAAAGTAAAATTTGAAAGTAAAAATGTTTCTTTTGAACTTGAAATAAATGGGTATAAGCATGTTTACTCTAATTACTTTGCTACATTTGTGCACTGTTCCGGCAGAAAACTTGACAATAATATATCCCAGAATAAGTAGAGACATTTTAATATGGTAGGTTAATATTACTCAACAACTATTCAATGAAATCAAGATTACCAATCAACTTATACTTACAATCATTGAATTCCATTACAAAGAATTGAAATCAATTTGTTAATTCTTTTAAATTATCTCAGAATTAAAATATCTAAATCTCATAACTAACATAGAAATGATTCACAATTAACATTAAGTTTACTTGATTTTTGATTTCCTGAATTTTTTATTCGTTCAAAATGGTTCCTTAATATGAGAACAAAATGTATCAAATATACTACTTACCAACAGAATAACCATTTTGATTTTCAATTAATATGTAACCTAATTAAAACTTTCTTTCTAATAAATGAAACATAATTGTTAAACATAAAATTGATACAAAAAGGGTATGCCTTGCCTCAATGGGTGATCTTGCAAAAAATAAATTTTACGTACTTCAACTGCAGACAGCTGTTCTCCAAGTTTGATTGCAAATGCAGTACAACATTTACTGATGTTATAATTTTATTCCGTTACACCACAAGACAGTTATCCAACAGCAAAACTTGCTACATAGATAGGAGCAACTGCAAGAACTAAAATAAATAAATACAAAACCATAAACACTTGGAAGAAAAAACATTATAACATAAACAAATCATAAATAAGAAATAAAATTTGAATAAGTGTCATGCTACACTCAAATCCTCCTTCAAATAATAAAAATTAGACACGCAACCTTTTCAATAAACAAAGACTTAAAATTTAATTAATTAAGGCAATTATTAAATTAACGCTTTAATATGCTTTGAATAAACATAACAATTTATTATGTGTATGCGAATTAATCAGAAAACAACTCAGGAATAGAATGGAATCTATTTGACCAAATTGTTCTTACATCTCATAAATTAAGAAATGAAATGTATTCATAATTGCATTACATGTTACAAGAGTAAATAATGCTCTTCTTATTACTTTTGAGTAGAAAAGTATTTATTAATTAAATTTGTTCAATGAATTTGTTGCCCCGACTGGGATTCTAATCTGGGCCTTCTGATTTACACCCATCTGCTCTAACTACTAAGCTGCCAAGACAGCCAGTACTTTAAACAGTCTTCATGAGCGCAATTATCAAAGGAAATTATATTCATTTTCATATTGGTATATTGGTTGCCGGGCAAAAAAATATCTAAATGAACATCATTTCCTTCTTTTAATGAATTAATTAGTATGCAGTTTCCACGCATCCACATATACAATAATTAACAATCACTTATTTAGAAAACTACATTAATGAATTTTTCAACTAAAGATTAAATATGCACGTCAAAACAAAATGAGCAGAGGATTGATAGTGCCATCAATTACTGAAATACTCCACCATGCAAAAATTCCCTTTTCTTTGATTTATACAAGCACTTCAGTGCTTTATATATATATATATATATATATATATATATATATATATAATTATTATTATTATTATTGTTATTGTTATTATTATGATGTGATTTTGTGATAATACTTTTATAAATGGATCAACCTGTTAATTGAAATAAATAAAAAATATAAAATTAATATTATTGACCAATTATAAATGCTTGTTTCAACAAACTTGAAAGCATCAAAAGAATTGGTAACAAAATATTCGACCATGCAATGTTCAAGGTACTACACTAATAAAAACCTGAAATATTACAGCATAACAACATATCCAAACATATTACAACATATCCAAAGAAACTTCTGTGAACTATTGAATGTAGTTTTTGTCTTTTATTGTTTACAATAAATTACTTCAAACTACAGAGATAAATTAAGTTACAATAAATAAAAAAAAAACATGGCAATCTACAAAATCTCTAGCACTGATTTCTACAGAAGGCATTTTGCACCTAAGGAGTTATATTTTACAGTAATCCAAGCTAAAAAGTTGTGAACTACTGAAACAATTAACACAAATTACACAGAATAAAGTACTTTGCAATGCAATTTTTTGTGATTTGCAGTAATAAAACAGTGTGTGCACCTGATATATGATTAGAGAAATTAATGCAAACAATCGGGTTGGCATCTGTACTCCAAAGGAGGAGTTTTTTAAAATAAAAAAAATCAGGTTTATTTTTTATTTAAATAAGATTTAATTGATTTAAATAAGATTTTTTAAATTGGTTTAGATGTTTTTACGTTAAACCAAAATCATTAAGAGATATATTTATCCTTAAGTACTTTAAAAGCAGAAAAAAGTTTACTAAAACATCAGTTTTTAAATTTATTATTACATTTATATCCCCCCCCCCAAAAAAAAAAAGGTTCTATATATTTGAGCAGTCTGGTGCAGTAGCACACTACCCCACAAAATCATTAAATTTGAGTTACTTATAGTTTCTCTTGCAACAACATTACCAAATAAGCTGGCACCATCTATTAGCATGATTTAGAGAAAAGGCACTCTTCGTTCAAAGAAATTTTATCATTTTTTATGCAAATCAAAAAGCACTAATTGTTGATAACAACTGAATGTACCAAAAAACTTATAAGAAGTTCAATTATTAAATTCTTTTTAATTGTTGTCCTGTTATCAAAAAATATGGGTATAATGGTAGTTACTTGCACTCTTTCACAACCCTTTAACGGTCAGTGGGAAGTATACAATGTATACAAAAGAAAAAAGTTAATATTATTAAAACTAGTAAGATTAACTTCTGTTTTTATTAGCTTTAACAATATTAATTTTGTTCTTTTAATGAGTATTAATAAAATTCTATTTTTATTAATTCCCATCGTACTTAAGATGTACTTTAAATGGCTTTAGCAAACATTTTAATACAAATCTAGAATTATGGACACTACTGAAGCTTTAAACGTGTTTTTCTTTAAACTAGGTTGGTGTGTGTAAGAGGGCAGTATTGTTGATAAATAGTTTTATCTAGA